CCATTTCATAATTTATTTAAGATACCTTTGTTATTTTGCGGAGTTCCCTGCCCCATTCTTCTTTGCCTGGTCTGATCCTACCTTCCAACTTGGCCTTCCCTGGCTTCAGCCTTTCTTAGCTCTGGTGACCATCCTGGCTTCGGTAAGAAAAGGCTTTGGGGGACCCTCAGAGTCTTCCAGACTCTCAGAAAGAAAGATATTCCATTTTGTGGAAAGAGAGACCAAAAGAAGGGGAAGAGACTTGAGAAAAAAGAGACGACATGTCCGAGCATGGGTACTGCTGAGGTGTCTACATCTTCCAGTATGGTGACCCTAGCACTGCCAAAGAAGACCATGTTGCATTCTGAGAAACCTTCCAAGAAACAATCTTGAGTGAGTGGCATCAGCATCTGTATTAGGATTGGCGCCTTTCTAAGCACAAGGACAACTAGCTCTTTAAGGATTGCTCCTTTCTCAAAGTGCAGTTGGTAACCAACGAGGCCCTATCTTTTTTTCCGCTCCATGGGCATCTGACTCAACATGGAAAAATCTATTCTCATACCTATACAATCAATAGACTTCATTGGAGCCAGTCTGGATTCCGCTACTTCCTGAACATACTTGTCCATGAATAGGTGCACTACAATGCACAGTTTCACTTCCATGATACAGCAAAGCCTGCAAACCATAGCAAGGTTTTGCCTTCAACTCCTGGACCACATGGCAGCTCGTCCTTTTGTAACATCCCTGGCAAGACTACACTCCCGTTGTCTTCAAGCCTGGCTCAGGTCTGTCTGTACACCCATCAAGCATCATCTGTCTAAGGAGGTATCAATATCTCAATGGGTCCTCAACTCCCACAAAGACCTTTTGGATCCATCCATTAATTGTAAGGGTTTTCCATTGTTACATTCTCCTGATATGCTTGCCATCACTTCCTACCCAACATCAAGGGCCACTCAATGTTACAACTGCGGTGTGGGTGGTCAGGCCCAGTGGCTAGCACAGAAGTCATGCCAAGTGGTTGGTGTGGGAGCCAGGGGTCAAGTCTGAGGGTTGGCGCCAAGGGCCAAGCTGGGGCATCAGAGCTGGAGTCAGGAGCTCTCAGGGAAGCAGAGGCCTGGAGTAGGACAGGAACAAGGCTGTGAATGAGGTAGGGGAAAGGCTGGAGCAAGACTGGGGACAAGGCTGTCAAGGGAGTAATCACATTTGTGGACATAAGTGTTGAGCAGCCAATGACCTGCTGCTGAGCAGACCTGCTGGCTCCCTTCAGCCAATCAGGCAGTCCTACCACAACCCAGCTGAGCTTATTAATTTACATGGAGACTGGGCTGGCCAGTCCTCAGTCTCAGCTGAAGGAGCTAATTCCTGACACTTGATCAGAGTAATGCTGGACAACAGAGGAGCAGTATATTCTTTAAAGAGCCAAGGAGAAGAAAGACACCGCCCCCCCCAGCCTTACGCTTAGAATCCATAAAACTTTGGAATTGGTGCACCTCCCACCGCATAGAGATTTCAGCTATTTATCTACTGGGATTGCAGAACAACATAGTGGACTCCTTGATTAGTATTTCTGTCATGACCACAAGTGGGTGCTGAACAAGGCAGTATTTCAGAAAACTTGTCTTAACTTGGACTCACCAGAGATAGATCTCTATGTTGACACCGTCCTATATGAAGTCTCAAAGGTTCTGCTTGAAAGGAGGACACAGTTGCAAGTTGTTGGGAGATGCTGTCCTTACCCGTTGGCTTTGAATATTACTATATCCTTATTCCCCCATCTCTGTCACTCCTCAAGGTTCTGAGCAAGAGAGACTGGTGGCCATCCTCATAGTGCCATCCTGGCCAAAAACAGGTATGATTCCCAGTCCCTGCAACTGCCTCTCTGCCTTCCTCTGACAGCAGACCTTCTCACCCAGGAATCAGGAGCCATGACTCACCCAACCTCTCATTAATTCACCTCAAAGCCTGGCTCCGAGATGGCTCTCTCCAAGCAGAACTGATCATCAGTAGAAAACCCATCACAAGGAAAATTTACCAGCAGAAGTGGAAACATTTTTAAGCCTGGTGTAATCCATACTTTCTCTTGAGTTCACTTTACACCCACTCTTTATTTCCTGCTAAATCTAAAACTCCTGGGTTTATCACTGAGCTCAATCAAAGTTCATCTGGCTGCCATTACAACCTTTCTCTCCCCACCCCACCCCACCCCCCTTTTTTTGTCTTTGCTCACCGTGAAGTTCCTTAAGGATCTGTTTAACCTTTTTTTGTGCTACTTCTGGATAATGGCAAAGTTTTGTTGGGAACCAAGAGACTGCAAATCAGCAGAATCAAATGTAGTTGGCTTTTGTGTTCTGGCCACCCTACTAGTATCGCTCTCTTGACCACCTGTAGTTGGATGGCCTTTTCTGTAGCCTCTTTGATTTCCATCAGCTTTGCTGTAGAAACTGGGAAGTTGTGCATCTGTCAGTGGATTTGGCGTCCTAATCCCCTTCCCCCAGCTTGCTGATGTTGGGTATATATATCTTGCTCAGGGTGCCAGCTAACACCAGTACAGTAATTGAACTCTACTGGGCAGTGCTGGAGGTGCATCAAAATGCGCTGCAATCTCTTTCGAGCACTACAAAGGCATTATTGTCTCAAAGGGTTTACTGTTTCACTGTTACTTGGGGGCTGGCCATATGTGTACTGATGGTATTGCTCCACTCCAAATACTGCAGCCAGAAGCTCTTGTCTATTTGGGCATACACCTGTTCAGTCTCTGATGGGGCTCTGCTGCCATAAGCGACTGACTGCTCCTGCAAGGGAGCTACGACCAATCCTTTATCTAGTGTGTTACACTGAAGTGTCACTGGCATTCCTGGCTGGTAGTACTTTAGGATGGGTGTCTGTTATCATTTGTTTCATATGCCAAATGCTTGTTGGGGACCTTCCCAGTCCCACTCAATATCCTCCTAGTGAGCTGACATATTAGTTCCGCTACTGAAGCCAGGAGTGGACAGAACTTGGTCAGAAAATTTATCGTTCCTATCAAGTGCTGTAACCCTTTCACATCCACTGGAGCTGGCATATCTCTGATTGTGTTGATCTTGTTGGGATCTGCTTTTGTCCCTCTGCTATGAGCAGATATCCAATGTATGTCACCTCATGCTGTCTGAGTACCATTTTTTTCTGGGTTCAGTTTTATGTTCTTCCTGTATCCCTGTATAAAAGCCTGTAGTTTTCTGCTATGGTCTGATTCAGCTTCTGTATAATTACTCTCTTCACTACATTGAGGCTATCATCTGCCATTATTACCCAAGCAGTGAGTCTTCTCTGGAACACCTCTGGTGCTGACCGTATGCCCATCAACGTGCAAAGCCATTTGTAGTGACCAAATGATGTTGCAAAGGTTGTCAACATGCCAGACTCATTCCTCACATCAGATGGTAAAGTCTGGCTTTGGGAAGTCCTGGTAAGATGTTGCTATGCACTGACCACAATTGATAACATCTCTTCAGTGCCTGGTTCAATGTCTATGTGTCTGTGCAGAAGAATATGTCTGACTTCTTTACACCACCATGCTGTTTATCCAGGCAGTACTGGGCTCTGAAGGTGGTGAGATACTCCTACTCTGCAGACTTTCAAGCTCCTTGAGTACTGAATTACAAAGTGCCACTGGTATTTTCCTTCATGGGCAGCATGCAGGTTCTATTTTGTGGTCTACTTTCAGTTGCAGCTTTCCTTCAAGGCACCCATTGCCTTTGAAAACATCTCCATATGCTTTTAAAATAGTCTCCATTGTCCATGGGACTCCCCTTTTTGTTTCTTGCACTGCAGCTATAGAATTCTGATGCTACACCCTGATCAGATCCATGACTTGTATGGATGTATTCCCCAATGAGATCTGTGGAGCGTAGCATCCATGACCACAAACTTCAGTTGGTACTGTCTTATTTTTGGGTTGGTTACTGTGAGGTCACATTTTCTCTGAGCTGCATTATGCCCTCATACATTACAGTAACTTCTCACTTAACGTTGTAGTTATGTTCCTGAAAAATGCGACTTTAAGCAAAACGATGTTAAGCAAATCCAATTTCCCCATAAGAATTAATGTAAATGGGGGGGTTAGGTTCCAGGGAAATTTTTTTCACCAGACAAAAGACTATATTATAATTCTCACACACTCACTCACTCTCTCGCTCACACACATAGTGCTTTTAAACATAAGAGACTGAAGTTAGGCTCCTAAGTTCATATTTAGGCACCTGCCTGATTTTTATTTTTATTTTTTAAAACAGCCACCCAACAGCCACCATTGAGGTCAATATGCATATTGATCTCATCGAAATTGCAAAACAGACACTGTAGTAACATAGCCTAGTTTCCAAGGTCAATAACCACAGAACCTCACTTTACCTAGTGTCATGCCTATGGAAATAAGTTTACCTTTTATTTGAATGTAGAGAAGTCATACATTTTAAAATGTTAAGTCTACTATTACTGAATATATTTATTGTGTATATCTCTCATTTGATATTTCTGAAAGATAAATTAACAGTTATATTGTCAATGTTTCCATGTGAATTTCACGTGTTTCATAGGACCGTAACTTTGTATTTATGGAGTAATTCCTGAGTGTTGTCAAGCATCTACAGTTCCACTGAAGTCAACTGAAGCTTTTTTAAAGGGAATTGAGGGTGGTTGTTTCAGGCTCTTTTTCCTATTTAGTTATTCGTATCACAGATGGATGTTTTGAGACAACAGGTCCTTCTGTATGTTGTACCTTATTTAAACATGTATAAAAATATTGTCAAACCTCTATAGCAGTGTTTTAGGATACAAGGACATTTTTGAAACTTTGCATTTAATGACTGTATATTTATTTGTGATTATTACATTGATTTGTGCAGCATGTCTTAATGAATGATTCTTGTGCCATTAGTTATCTTGATGAGAACTGCAATCACTCTATTTAATATGAATATTGTTTTCTATCTAAAGTACTTATTCACTAAAGGAATTAAACCACTATAGGTCTTCAATTGTCAATTTGTAAAACTGAGTTAGGTCTTTCTCATAACTTATGGTATAGAATTTATGGGAAATAATGCCCTGGAATGCCTCTTGTCTTGAAGTGAGATGGATTTTGAAATGTGATTTGGTTTCCAGTATGCATAGTAGCCTTACCAGAATAAAAAAGGAAGTATCCATCATGAAAGGGACACTTTCCACTAGTTGAAGTCAGTGACATCTTTGAAGTTGTATAAGGTACAAATCTCTGTAGAGTTCAGACCATTGTGTTATAGTTTGGTTAGGGGGAGTCTGATAGACATACTCATTTATATTTATTTTTATTTAAATTACATTTATTGATGAGATTAATAATTTACAAAGCAGTAGATGCAACATTTTGTGCTCTGCTTCTGTAAATTTAACCTAATCATTACTCTCGGGATACCCAGAGATCACTGATGTTAATGGTGCACAAAATAGTCATCAGAAAGCAAAGTTAAATTTCAGGTTTATTTGAAAATAAAGGACAAAAAATCAGGCAAAGGGGAATTATTGCTAGAAAATGCTATTTAAGTTTCTAAGAAAGTATTACAAGAATTAAAAGTTTAATTTTGAATGTAAAAGAGTAACTGAAAGAAACTCCTTTTAGTTTAAAAACCAGGGATGTGTTGCATTATATACTGTACATACTACCGTATTTCTAATTTTAATGTACCTAATTTTATATAAAATATAAGTAAAGTCTGACTTATGAATCATTGTGTAATCCCACGCTATTTGGCAGAATATAAATGCATATACAGATAAAGCTCAATAATGAAAAACAGGATAAATATGTTCTAGGAAAGTTCAAAGACCAGATCAATGAAAAAACAGGATGTATTGGTGTCTTATGACATTTTTTCTTTCTTTTCAGGATTTTTTGGGACAAGTGTTTTGTACACTAGGAGAGATAGTTGGATCACAGGGAAGCAGACTGGAAAAGGCAATTGCGTAAGTGCATCATTCTTGACTCTTGGATAAATAAGCACTGCTTCATAAGGTGTGGTCATTTCTATTAATTTATAGAGGTACTTTGCCATATGCATTGTGGCAGACAACGTCTTGGAGAAAATAAATTGACAGGTGATGCAAATAATTTTCCATTATAGATTTTTATTATATTTCTTTTCTGTTTCAGGTAATTCTCAAATTAACTGATGATGTATTTAAATATCTTGTCTCCTTTTTTTGTTCTCAACTCTCTTTTAACTACATCGAGTGTATTTCTCTTAGCAAGATTTTGTTCTTATTTTATATATATATATTTTTTATATTTGTAGTGTAGGTTTAGAAATGGTTCACTATAGAAACAGCTTTGATTATGGTCTTAATTTTGTCAATAAGATAAATAGCTAGCTTTAATTTTAACCTTAATTTCTTCTTTGAGTGCTATCCCTTTGGGTTCTCCACTTCAGGTGTCGGTGTGTCCCATTGCCGCTGACTGGAGATTTTCCTTAGCAGTGCCTGGTTGGGGCAGGCGTGCGCAGTGGCTGTCTCACTGTGCTGTTGGTGCTTCATCGAGCACTCGCGTGGCCTGACCCCCTCAGTTCCTTCTCAATCATTCTTGGGTGCAGACTGAGCTCCAAAAACAGTGTCGAAAAAAACCTAGACAAGAGTTAAAAATAGTTGTTTAACTTTTAATTCTTAGGCGTACGTTTCCGTTTAATTAATTAGCTTTTTCTCTAAATAAACAAAACACTGGGAGAAACCTGTCCATTTTTCTCTTTCATTGAAATATTCCCCCCCCCCCAAAAAAAAGACACAAAATGAAAATGCCGGGCTCTCCAAGTTTTAAGATGCACTTTGTGCAAGGATGCTATGACTGTCTCCAATGGGCACTCGCAGTGCGTCCGTTGCTTAGGGGAGGTGCACATTTCTCAAAAATGTGCCCACTGCAGCAACTTCAAAGCCAGAGTGAGGTGGGATAGAGATCTGTGACTCAATATGATTCTTATGGAGAAATCCCTAATGCCATCTTCTGATCCTGGAAAAATCCCATTGAGGGACACTCAGGGTGGATTTGATTAAATTGATTTAAATCACTAGTCAGGAAGACTCGATTTAATCATGGATTTCTACATAAAAGTGCTTTCTTGTTGGTTGTTATAACCTTAATACATATTCTTCACATCTCGGAGATAGATGTAGGTTTCATTTTTAGAAGGTACACACTATATATTTTTAAGTGATTTATTTTGAAAACTTTTCAGATTAGTTTTACAGCTATTTCAGAAAATGAATGATTGTTTGGTTATTTCATTTACCAAAGGTAATTGAAGCAGATAGTTCATCTCCCAATGACTTCATAAATACACCTCTACAGCGATATAACACGACCCGATATAACGCGGTAAAGCAGTGCTCCGGGGGGACGGGGCTGCGCACTCTGGTGGATCAAAGCAAGTTCGATATAGCACGGTTTCACCTATAACGCGGTAAGATTTTTTTGGCTCCCGAGAACAGTGTTATATCGGGGTAGAGGTGTATCTCCAATTCAACAGGTTAATCATTAATATTTGGAGGATTTTCTTGCCATGCTGTATTAGGAGGAGAACATCACCAGACAGACATTTAAATTGTTTTATTTAACTAAAACAACAATGTTATGTATTTTAATTTTTTTTCTTCAATAGCAAACATATATTTTAGCAAAACCAGTATATGAATTTTTGAATTTAATTAAACATTAACAAATTTTAAAATCAGGTTTGTTTTTGTTAAAATTGTTTAACTAAAATAGTTAAATGAAATATTTAAAAAAACAAGAAACAAAAATTAAATGGACTATGTCAGCCAGGTCAACAGCTCAGAACATAATCAGAACATAACATAACATAATGAGAAACTTAAAACATTGGCTTCTGCAGCTAACTCAGTCGTCTTCACCTTTGATTTCTTGTTTGTTCATAATCTGGAAAAGAAGAACAAGCTTTCCTGCTTTTTTAGGTCCCAAACGATTTCTCAATTTGGAATGAATTAGTCCTAAGGAAGAAAACATTCTTTCTACACCGGCAGAAGAAGCTACTGCTGTTAAAAGTGAGATTATCACTTCAGCAGTCTCTGAATCCAAGTACTTAAGTAACTTCCACCAGTTCACTGGCGTGACTTTTTCTTTAAAACATCATCAGCAAACATATATTTCTTGAATGGTTCACCCTTAGCTCCGAAGTTTATTATAGTTGGCATTCTGGAGGGATGATTGCTGGATGTCCATGTTATAGCCAACTCCTCTTCTTCAGCAGTTAAGATTTGACCCTGGTACTGATTGAGAATATTTGCAAGAAAATGAGCTGGAGATAATACTTGTCCCATGTTTTTTTTAATGTTTGTAATTTAACTCTGTCATTGCATTTTTTTTTTTTAAGATCTCACTCAGTTCCTTCCAAATTTCAACAGCGTCAGCAATAAAACAGCTATTTCCTGGCATTTTGTTCAAGGCTACAGAAATAGGCTTCAGCGAACTCAGCATGTGTTCAACATTTCTCTTAAGCCCAATGTTGAGAACTTTGGCTGTGACAGTGCCATCTATTTTTTCACGATTTTGTTCACAAACTATCATCAGATTAGGCCAGTTCTTCATATAGTGCTCAAAACAGTCAACTACTCAGTTACATCGCACGACTTGTGGGAGAGTTAGCTTGGTTCCTCCCACTTTTTTCAGAGCAGCTGCTGCAAAATGGTTGTTACGGAAGTGTTTTTTTGCAATTTCAACAACCTTAGCCTTTATTTCTGGAACACTGAAGTCTTTGGCTAGGAGGTGAATCAAATGAACACTGCAACCGTATGTTGTTAGTTTGGGACTCTCTTCACTCTCTTCTAAATAATTTCTTCTAATCTTGGATACATTTGCAGCATTGTCTGTGACCAAGCTGCGTACTAGACACTTGAATTTTTTTTTCAGTTTGTTATAGCTTTTACTGTTACTTCTTGTAAGTATTCTGCTGTGTGTGCATTTCCTGATGTAGCAATTGTTTCTATAAGGAAGATATTCCCATCTTCTCTTGTCACATAAGCACATACAACAGGATCATTGTGGACATTGCTCGACCCATCAAGACTCGGATTAACAATTTTACCCTCTAGACCTTTTTCACACTGCTCAATTTCTCTTTCATACATTTTATCCAGCAATTTCCCTGCAACATCTGCTCTGTTGGGTGGATTGTATACTAATAGGCTATAGAACCTTACTCCCTACTAAAAAAATCCCTACATATATTGGCTGTTATACATATAGTTTAAAAAAACTTGTAATATATCATAAACTTACATAAACCTACACAACCACACACATTTTCTAAAGAAAAAATAGCATGCTACTTTTTGAATTGTGGTCTTTATGTTCTGTCAGCCTGTGGTGGGAGAGCAATTATGGGAAGGCTGTTACCCTGTGATTTTCACAGGGTATGCTATACCAATTTAATAATTTACAATATGCATAGAAAGTACCGGGAAAAAAGTAAGTCTTCCTGCACATTTGATCTTTCTTCCTTGACTTCTTATCGTATCTTAAGCAGATTAAAAAAAATTTCCCTTTAGATCTGTTAAGATTGCCAAGACCATTAGGGATCCTAGGTAAGAACATGGAAAGGAGAAGGTGAAATTATTCTGGGGGATTTGATACATACACTATGGTTTCCTGATATTCTGATTAAATAAAGGTAGGCTGGTAATATAGACCACTTGCAGATTCCAGCAACATATCACGGAGGGTTAACACCACCATGCTTGTACTCTACATGCCCAGTTCATGGCTTGTGATGCTTTTTCCAGAACTGAAGACACTGGGCTGTCCAGAATTTGGGTTACATTAAGTATTATCTGGAAAGTCTTAGAAACACTACAAAGGGAAGATATCATCTTGGACTATTCAGAATAAGTAGGAGGGACCACCTCAAGGACAGGTCTCTCTTGCAGTTGAGTCTATGGTATCACCTCTTAGGTGGACAGGCTAAGATTTTTCTTGGGAAGGTGGTTTTTGAGATGATAGGTTTTCTTCCAATGTTCTTCAATGGGCAATTACTCCTATGCTCATCCAGAAAGGCCACAGAACTTAAGGCTATACGAGATTTACTCTTACTTTATCCTTGGGTCTCACAACATTGAAGGAAATGCATAAGGGGGAAAGGAGTGGTATCTGATCTGCAAGAGGAGTTCTTCAGACATAAGCTCAAGGGAAGAGAGTGAGTGTTTCAGAGTACAAGATTAAGATGTTTGAGCATGAGGAGAGGACTCAAAAAACTAAGGAAATGTAAGAGCCTTTAATGAAGGTGCTGACACAGATTCAGGGGAAATACAAATGTAAACGCTGCTCAGATCCAAACTGGAAGTCCTGTTCCTGTGGTGCTATACAGGGATTGATAAGAAAGTGTACTGGCTTTTCAGTAGTAACTGAGGTTAAAAAATTTGGATGCAAGTGTCCAACCAGAGCAACCTAGTCAAAAAGGGTGTTGATGTCAAAAGCTAAATCTGCGTCTCAGAACGGAGTGTGCTCTGTGCGCTGACCCTCATTTCCTATGGTTCATTAATTACAAGACACATTTGCACCTAAATTTTTCTCTGGACAGGGAGAAATGGGCTGCCTATAAGATTGGCTTTGGAAAATGAGTGCTTTCTAGGTGGCACCTGTGCGGAGAGTACATCTTCCTCTTCAGAAAAAGAGGATAATGGAATGGCATCCTCACAATGTTCATAACGACAGACCTTGGATGGATTTCAAGAGCTCTTTTTCTTAGCCTTTGGATTGGAGAAAGGCCATCTAGCTAGAGACACTACCTGTGTGAGCTGACAAAGCATCCTCTATGGAATGACTTTCACCTTCCTCTAATGCTTACTTTAAGCCCTAAGGATGTATGTGTTACAGGGATTGGTTCTTTGCCATGTGCTATTTAACATTTTTGTCAATGACCTGAAAGAAAGCATATAATCACGGATTATGTTTTGAGATGACC